TTTCGACTTAAACAGGTACCTACTTTACTGCTAGGTGAACAGGGACTAATGGGGGCTAGGAAGTATGTCCAAACAACTTCCACCGGCCCGGGAATCGAACCCGTGACATCTCGCTTGCGAGGCAAGAACGGTACCGCTTCTACCACCAGCGCCCCCCCCCCCCAGGCGATTAATTACCGAACCAGTAGATGCAAGAATCCTGTGTGTCAGAGGTCACGGTCAGAGGAAGGTTAAAGGTCAGATATGGCCTGAGGTGTATCGTGTACAGCGGTGTTCTTGTTATACTTATTATCAGCTGTGTGTTGTGTACATTTTTACACTAGATAAGTGGTTTCAGTGAGTGGGAGAGAAGGGGGGAGAGAGCTTGGGGAATATAATGATAATGTTACCTTAGTTATTATATTACTACTTATTTTGAGTATTTTGATTTACTACTACTACTACTACTACTACTTTTTTATAGTGGCCTCCAGCCTCCCCCAATAGGCACACACCTTCGCCACCATTTTCCTGCCTTAAAATTAAATATCCTAAGACAAAAGTACCTACCCTAGCGGTGACTGTTGCCTCATAGTCAATATCTGCGACCGTTGTCGAATTTGGGGCCGATGCTCGCGTTCCCTAGAGGCAAAGCAATGCAGACCTAAGCAGGGAGAAGGACAGTCGACATCTCAACCAGGCTGCAATGTGGCTTCTGGGCTGCTGCTTTTGCTCAAACAACACTTCCTCCAGTCTTTCATAAAAGCGTTTTGCACTTGGTACCATCCCACCAGAAGTTGTGAACACCAGAGGAGTGAAGCTGCCCTGATCCACATTCTGAATTCTCTGTCCATACGCCCTAATCTTGTCGTTCTCGTTCCTCTTGTGTGCAACCTCGAGAGACAGGATACGGTGACATGCGGCCATGGAATCAAATATCCTGACGTTAAAGAAGGCTCGCTGTTCCCTCGTCCAGGAACTTCGAGCGCTGACGTTCACACGGGCTTTGTTGGATGTGTTGGAAGTCCTGTGATGGAGATTCTCACTGTCCAATGGAAAGAGGGTCGGTTCCACCATGATGTCGTGGCAGATTTCCTTCAGTGAGATCCCTGTGAGATCCCTTACTTGGTCATGCCTCATCCATACGAAGCCCCCCTTCTTGCACACCTTGGCGTAGTCGATATATTAGGATGAGCCACACACACACACACGCATTGGGATAGCATACCTTCTACTGAATCCTTTTGCCCCTATTGGTAAAGTTGTTAGTCAGTTCGGGGCGCTCACCTCCTGCGCTATAGCTACTTTTTTTTCATGTTCTCTCTCAAATGCAGCTTCAGTTGTCGCAGTTTATCATTTTGGGTGAGCTGTCGTTCTGTCGTAATGGACCGTCGAATCTTGCTTAATTCGTTGGTATCCACCTCACCTGCTGCATTTTTAGTTATTATGTGTTCAGTAAGGGCTGCCGTGAGCTTGACAGAGTTCTGAAGTTCGGTGGCAGCAAGCTCATCTGGATTGGTGATTTTCACTAGTGTTGTAATAAAACCGACCCTGATGTCTTCTTCCAGGGGATGGAGGAAAGATCCAATATCAGAGATAGAGTGCATTAGGTATTTCCAGAGATGTTTTACTCCATGGGTGAATGCTGCAAACGCCGAATGTGGCTCAGTTTTAGCAATAGCAGAACAAGTTTGGATTTCCTTCACCCACTCATTTATCTTTCCTGTTACATACTCGGTCTTGAAATAATTCGTATCGATTACGGCTCCTATAGCTGTCTTTGGCCGCCCTTTGTTGTTTTGACCTCACTTCCGTCAAGACTTCAATAGCCCGGTCATGGTATTCTGGCTTCACAATGAGGAAGGACTTGCTGTCATTTGGGTGGTACCCTATTTGTGGACCACATAATATTACGAGGTTCCACCACGTTTTGGTGTCCTCCACTTTTCCTGTTCCCGTAAGGTCATCAGTATATGTTATCTTGCTTAATCTTGGTTGTTTCATTGTTATTGTGTGAAGGATCACGGCATACATTACCATGGTCAATGGGTCCCACTGTGTCGTTCCCTCAGTTTATTGTATGGTGGTTATTATTATTATTATTATTATTATTATTATTATTATTATTATTATTATTATTATTATTATTAGTAGTAGTAGTAGTAGTAGTAGTAGTATTGTTTTATTATTATTATTATTATTATTATTATTATTATTATTATTATTATTATTATTATTATTATTATTATTATTTTGTAGGATGCGTTAAGTGTGGTAGAGGAGCGGTGTTGAGGTAGGTGGCACCCTCCTCACCACCACCACAACACCTGTTCATTATTACCACCAGTTGGGCCCGTCTCGTTATCACGGCCTTAATTGAACCATCAGACAGAAAATTAAGCGATTAAGAGAAAGTAAAAGAGAGAGAGGAAGAGAGGAAGTAATGGAGGGAGAGGGAGCAATGGAGAGAGAATGGGTGGAGGGTAAGAAGGTAGCGATGGAGGGAGAGGGAGAGGGAGAGAAGGAACGATGGAGGGAGAGAGGGAGCGAGGAAGGGAGCAACGGAGAGGGATAGAGAGAGAGGGAGAAAAGAATCGATGGGCGGAACGATGGAGAATGAGAGAAAGGGAAGAAGTGATGGAGGAAAGGTGCGATGAAGGGATAGAGGAAAGGAAGGAGGGGGGAAGAGAGGGAGGGAGGGAGTGAGCGGTGGAGGGAGAGATAATGTGTGTGTGTGTGTGTATGTGGTTATTTTTGTGTGTTTCGGTGTGTGCTTTTTGTGTGTGTGTGTGTGTGTGTTTTGTTTTTGTACGTGTGTTGATACCTTCCACCAGAAGATAGCGATGACCAAGCGCAAACTTCGTGATGTAAAGGACGAGTGGTGGAAAAGTAAAGTGTGTGAACCGCAAAAGTGAACTTTTCAATTCCACTAAAACAATGTATGGCCCAATTTCTCATGGCGCAGACCCCTTAGCTCATCCGACGGTAGCTTCCTAATTAAAGACGAAGAAGGCATCCGTCAGTGCTGGAAAAGTCACTACCATTCTTTGCTCAACTGAAACACCGATGTGGATGACTTGACTACCCAGCAGGTCCCTCAACACCCAGAGATGACCCACCTCAGCTATCCTCCATCCCGTGTTGAGGTAGCTACTGCCATCAAACAGGTGAAAAATAACAAAGCCATAGGGCCTGATGGAATCCTAGCCGAGGTGTATAAAACAGGAGGACCTCTGCTTACCAGCCGTCTCCACTCTCTCCTGGAGAATATGTGGGAGAAGGAGGAAAACCCCCAAGATCTTAAAAATGCGTCTATCCTCCTTAAGTACTAAACAGACTTCTTTCTGAAGCAGAAAAGCTCCTCCCAGAATTTCGATGTGGCTTTAGACCATCACGTGGCACCACTGACATGATCTTTGCTGCCCGCCAGATACAGGAAAAGTGCAGAGACCAGTGTCGTGACTTGTACATGACCTTCATCGTCTTTACTTAGGCCATCGATTCGGTCAACAGGGAAGCCCTCTGGCTGACTTTCAGTCGTTTTGGTTGCCCACCAAAATTTATCCCCATTGTGAGACAACTCCACGATGGCATGAACGGCAGTGTCCTGCACAATGGCACCCAGTCTGAGTTCTTCCCCATCCGAATGGGGGTAAAACAAGGATGTGTACTGGCACCAACTCTTGTTTTCAATTTCTTGGTAGCCTTCTTTACTTATACCAGGCAGGAACAAAGGTGTTGGCTGCTTCCATCACTGAAATTCAGTCACTCCCACTGAACGCGACCTACGGGAGATCCTGAACACCTACACAGATGCGTATGCACACTTGGGCATTGAGGTGAATGTACGTAAGACTCAGATTCTCTTCCATCTGCCCTGGATTCAGCCACAACTCTACCATCCATCCAGCTTAACTGTACCCTCTCTAATGTTGCCCACTTTCAGTCACTTGGCTCCCACCTGATCACCCAGCCTTTGGCATACTCTGCGCTGTACCCGTGTCTTCAGCTGTAGGGAGCTGAAATTTTCTACAAAGCTGCATGTATATCGATCAGTGGTTCTCCCCACCCTGCTAAATGGCAGCGAGACATGGGTCACATACAGGAGGCACCTCAAGGCACTTGAAAACTTTCACCAATGTAATCTATGTTCTATCCTCCGAGGTTGTTGGGAAGACAAGAGAACAAATGTCAGCATTCTCGCTGACACCAACTGTAGGAGCATCAAGGCTACGATTATCCATGAACAGCCACGTTTGACTGTCCATGTTACTCGCATGGACGACAGTAGACTGCCAAAGCAGCTACTTTACAGTCACCTAACGAATGGCAAACGTAACGCTGGTGGGCAACGGAAAAGGTATAAGGATAGGCTTAAGACAAACCTAAAAGTGCCAAATTGACCCCCTCACCTATGAGACGATCACTTCACACCGTAACGGTTGGAGGAGCACCACAGGAGAAGGTGTTAGTACTTTCGAGTTAGCCCCATTGTATACCGAGGCAGACAAGCGCCAGCGCCAGAAAGACGATGTTGTCGTTCCTCCCGCACTAGAGGTAGTCCTCTATATGTGCAGCATCTGTGGACGGCCCTGCTGGTCCCGTATCGGCCTCACGAGTCACCACAGAGCTCACCAACGAAGGTGACATCTTTAATAATTCATATCATTGTATCATGGCTGGATGATCGCCATACTCGATTCCAAGTGACAGCAAACTAGTAGTAGTAGTGTGTGTGTGTGTGTGTGTGTGTGTGTGTGTGTGTGTGTGTGTGTGTGTGTGTGTGTGTGTGTGTGTGTGTGTGTGTGTGTATGTGTGTGGGAGTGTCCAGCTGGGTTTTCAATCCTTTTCATTATTATTTCTTATAATATTTGATAATGATAACATTGAAAATAATAAATAACAATAATGTCGATATAATGACGATGAGGGGTAAGAATAATGATGAAGATGTACTCTAATGATGATGTAAATGAGCAAAAAAAATGGTAATATTAACTAATTTGTTTTTCTTTTTCCAGTTTAAACGTCAAGGCTCAGGATGATCACAAAAGCAAAATCAACAGAATAGACATGCCAAATGGAGACAACGAACCACCGTAAGTAACATGGTAGTTGTGTTGGTAATGGATCAGTGTCTGGTTGTTATTAAAAAACAAAAATGTGTTTAATGTACCGTATATTGATTTAATGTTACAGAGACAGAGAGAGAGAGAAAGAGAGGGGACCACTAGTTACTGTTGAACCATTTTAATTTGTCTAAAATCTCAGCAAGCTACCACCACCATCATCCTAACCACCACCATCACCCCTACCACCACCATCACCCCTACCACCACCATCATCCTAACCACCACCATCACCCTAACCACCACCATCACCCCTACCACCACCATCCCTACCACTAACATCATCCCTACCACCACCATCATCCTACCCACCACCATCATCCTAACCACCACCATCATCCCAACCACCATCCCCTATACCACCACCATCACCCTACCACCATCACCCTAACCACCATCACCCCTACCACCACCATCACCCCTACCACCACCATCACCCCTACCACCAACATCATCCTAACCACCACCATCACCCTACCACCACCATCATCCCTACCACCACCATCACCCCTACTACCACCATCATCCTAACCACCACCATCACCCTACCACCATCACCCCCACCACCATCACCCCTACCACCACCATCACCCCTAACCACCACCCATCACCCCTACCACCACCATCACCCCTACCACACCATCACCCCACACCACCATCACCCTAATCACCACCATCACCCCTACCACCACCATCTCACCCTAATCACCACCATCACCCCTACCACCATCCACCCCTACCACCATCACCTAATCCACCATCACCCCACCATCACCCCTAACCACCACCATCACCCCTACCACCACCACCCATATGCAGTCGGGCTAACTCGAAGTACTGACACCTTCTCGTGTGGTGCTTTTCAACTATTACTTTGACACCTTGACACTCTGACACCCAGTTACTAATTAGATACCTTAACGAACACCTGATCTCTGACACCTAAAATGGTTTCCGCAGCAGCTGTTCTATCACAGACTTGTTCGCTGTCCTGGCTGTCCTTGACTGTGTTCTCGACTAATTCTTTCTCTCGGTTAAGTGTTGTTCTATTGGTATACATCTTTCTTTGTGTTTCCCAGTATATTTGTTTCTCTAGATCACCTTCTTTATTGTTGTCTGTCACTGTTACCATGGTGAGTGCTCCAGTCGCGTCATTACTTCTCTGTATAACCTTCCTTTAGTTCAAGTTCACCATTATACACCTCCTTCACTCCTTACGTGTCTCCTTTATGGAATCATTGTGTCCTCCCACATTATTCCGTGCACCTACACCTCTTATCACACATCTGAATTAATTATTTATCTTTCTTATCCATTATGTATATACTAGGCAAAGTCTTATATGAATACAAAGGTTATTTCGTTAGTGCTTCTACGAATTTAAGAGGCCACATTGGTATGCCTACCTCTCGCATTACATCACAGTGTTAAAAACAATTCTGAAGGCTTAGTAAACTGTGCATTGTATATATATATATATATATATATATATATATATATATATATATATATATATATATATATATATATATATATATATATATATATATATATATATATATATATTCGTGATTATGGAGGGGGGTGCATTTTCACTTTTTATGTTTAGGCAGAGGATAACGTTACAATATCGAAACATTAATGACTTGAAGAATACCTAACCTAGGGTAACTTGACCTCCAGTAACTTTAACCTAATCTAACTGAAACTAACTACACTTTAATCTAAACTAACTTAACTTAAATTTAACCTTCAGATATCGTAATGTTCACCACTTAGGCTTTGATTATAATTTAGTGCTGTCTCATTTTTATTGGACGTCTTGTTCAGACTGTATGGAGAGAAAAACAACAACTCGTGACCATGATCATATTACACACACACACACACACACACACACCCACGTGTTTGCTGCTCCTATCCTCAGCGCACGTGGCACACGTGACCTCACACAGAAGGGCAAGAGACCAGCCTCCACCACCACTGTAAACAATAATTTGAATGATCATTTGAATAAGCACTTTATGTTCCATTTCCTTTTTGTAAGAGTTTGTGTTAACGCCCCCCTCCCCGTCCCCCTGTCACCCTGCTGTATATTGTAAGTTATTTCTGCTCTTTGTATATTTGTAACCTTTTGGCTGCTGTACTTTTTCCAATAAACTGTTGATTATTATTATTATTATTATTATTATTATTATTATTATTATTATTATTATCTGTATTATATTATGATTATTATTATTATTATTATTATTATTATTACCTCCCACAGTGTTCAGTGTAATACCGTGTTCCCTCCCCCTCCTCCACCCTCACCTCCCTCTCTAGTGTTCCTCCTTACTCCTCACCCTCACCTCCTGTGTGTGCCGTGTTGTACCCCCTCTCTCCTCATCCTCATCCTCACCTCCCTGTAATTGTGCCGTGTTGTACCGTGTTCCCCCTCTCTCCTCACCCTCAGTCCCTCACCTCCTGTAGTGTACCGTGTTGTACCGTGTTCCCCCTCTCCTCACCCTCAGTCCCTCACCTCCTGTAGTGTACCGTGTTGTACCGTGTTACCTCACCTCCCCGTGTTACCATGTTGCCCGTGACCCTCTCTCCTCACCCCTCAGTCCCTCCCTGTAGTGTCGTGTTGTACCGTGTTCCCCCCTCTCTCCCTCACCTCCCCGTGTTGTACCGTTTCCTCCCTCCCCAGTCCTCAGTGTGCCGTGTTGTTCCCCCCCGTGTCCCTCAGTCCCTCCTCTTTGTACCTGTGTCCTCACTCCTCCCATGTTGTACCGTGCCTCCTCCTTCACCTCCCTCTAGTGTACCATGTTGTACCGTGTTATTCCACTTCCCGCTATTCTTAATCAAGAAATATTACTCAGCCTCTCTGTCTATGTTTACGTGATAAAAACAAAGTGTGTGATGGAGAGTGACGTCAGATTACCGTCCAGGTCTTGTGTGTTGGTCTCGTAAATACCGTTGATGATTTCTTGTATTCATTCTACTTATCTGGTGTGACCCATCTACTGTAGACCGTGTTAAATGTGTGTTTTAAGTGGTGAATGTTTGAAAAGGACTGTTATTATTATTATTGTTATTATTGTTATTATTATTATTATTATTATTATTATTATTATTATTACTATTATTATTATTCATGACTGAAGTTAAAGAGTTAGAAAGCTTAACAGTAAACATCCCAATAACTCACACTAAACTTGTTGACAGTCGCATAGTTTTTTTTTTTTTTTTTTTTTTTTTTTTTTTAGGTTAAGGTGGGGAAAGGATGGAAGGCATGCTGGGGCTCAAGGCACAGCCAGACATGAGGGATGGAGAAGTCACAACATATAGTCGTGGGGGGAAAGGTTGGAAAAGAAGTTTAATGAGTTAAACAGAGGGGGACGACACCCCTTGTTTTACATATTACAGAGTTTGTTGGCTAACTAAGCTAACCTAGGATTTAGAATGAGGTTGCACAATGGTTATTTTAGTAGACAATGACTAGATTGATTTTACAATTACAAGTTTATTAACATCTTATACTGTATTACGTTATGGACTCACTTGATTGTGACTTGTTAAATGTGAATTTATATCATCTAAGTTTTAATCTAAGGTGGATCACTGTGGCGGACATAGATGGGTCGCGGGTTGGGTTGTTGTAGTGCGGGCAGACTCCGGGGCCACCAGGCGTGGGGTCTCCCTCCGTTGATGTCTTCCCCGCGTAGGTGGTCTGGGCTGTGAGGGTCGTCCAGGAGCTTGTCCCAAACCTTCTTCCCTAGGCGATGGAACCTGAAGTTGAGGGCCTCTGTTTTATTTCTTAGGTGGATGGTTTCCACTGTCTCCTGGTAGGGTGGCGCTTGGCCACTGGCTGACCTCAAACACTTGTTTTGGAAGCTCTGTAGTTGTTGTAGTCTAGTCTTCCCGAGTGTGACGAGTGGTATAGATGGGTACTCCAACACAGGCCTCACCAGCGCCTTGTACAGGTGAACTTGTATCTTCTCAGGCATCAATTTAAAACGTTTTAATTTGGCTGCGGCGACTTTGGCTTTATTTAGTCTGTCCTTCACGTGGGGAATGATGCCCGTCCGAGAAATGATGAGGCCGAGCAACCTGCCTTGTTTAGAGTACTCAAGCTCTTCGTCGTCGATCATCAATGGGGCCGGTTTGAATTTGGCTATGGGTATGACCTCAAATTTCGTTTTGTTTGTTTTTATTTTCCATTTATTTTCATACTCCGAGATTTCCTCTATTGCCCGAGCAGTGAGTCGCGCCATCCTTGCTGTGGACCTTCCTGGGCAGGTGACGATCTGTGTTACATCGTCGGCATACATAACGTACTCGCTGCCGACGATTGGGGGTGGCAGGTCAGCCGTGTAGAGTGTGTAAAGGGTTGGTGAGAGACAAGAGCCCTTAGGCACTCCGCTCGATAGTGAGAATTCTTCTCCAAAATGTTCTTGCATCTTGATTTTGGCTCTGCGGTCCATAATGAAGTTACACAGCAGGCGCCTCAGATTTTCGGGTAGCCCCAGTTGTATGATCTTATACTGCAGCCCTGCGTGCCAAACTTTGTCAAACGCTTTGCTAACGTCCCTCAGTACTATATTGCACTGCAGGCGGCCAGTCATGGCATTGGCGATTTGCTCGTAGGCCTGAGCTATGGCGGTGGATGTGCCTCGGTACTGGCGGAAGCCGAACTGGCGGGGATTATGCACGTCTTCGTCCTCCAGATACATCCGCAATCGCTTGTTGACTATTTTTTCGAAGATTTTGGCAGGTACCTCTAGCAGCGATATTGGTCGAAAGTTTTCGACTTTGTTTGGAGGTTTCCCTGCTTTTGGTATGAGGCGAATAACGGCAATTTTGAACATCTTAGGGAAGTATCCAGAGGCGAGGCAGGCGTTGCATATATGAGCAAGCCTCTCTATCATGTTGTCGGGGAGTTGAGCCAGGATCTTCTTGTTAATGTGACTTTGACCAGGTGATTT